TAATGATGCCCCAAATTTATGAACTATTATACAATATATTTTGATGTTCAGCTATGTCCTAGAGAGTATCATTTACTTTTTAACTTTGTTTATATCTTTTTTTAAATTAAAGAATTGATCAAGTGACACATATCTATCAAAACTTACATGTGGTTTTCTCCTAAACTTTCATGCTCTGTAAGCCCAGTCCTATCTTAAGATTAGACAATAGTCACCTAGGTTTTGTTGTCCTTCATTGATTCATTTTATTAGCTTTTGCTTTTTAATCAATATAAAATTTATCTAAGAATATGGTAAGGTTGGGACCATACTCCCGAACCAAATGGTTTAACCAATTATTACAGAACTCAGGTAATCCATACTTGAGGAAGGTGGTTATACAGTTTAGGAAACAATTTTGAATGATCTTAAAAATAAGCATTCTTAATAATGTGGGCTCTTTCTCTTGCTGACATAATTAACATGCTCCTGTATACTGTTAAGCTATAAAATGGTTCATTTAATCACATTTAATTGAGTTTAAGATTTTATACTTAATTCAAGCCTAAACTCTATAACGATACTATTTATTCTTTCCCCTCCCCTCTCATCACGATGTTTGAGGTAGTAGATTATCTGGACAGGTGAAATCACTAAAACAAATTCAACAATTTGAAAACATTTCTAGGCTATTAATATGGAAATGGGATGTTTTACTAAGAATCATGTCATTATCTGGGAGGGAAGGGAGAAGCCATTTTTAGTACTAATATGCAAAGAGAAACATTACTGTAGAGCTGAAATATGGAACAAATGGAAGACTTGCAGTCATATGACCTGAGGTTCTAAATCTGACTCTGCGACTTACTAGCTAGTTCTCCTGCTTTGGGCACATTACTTAAAGTATCTGAGCTTCGGTACATCATCCACAAAATGAGAGTAAGAGCAAATATGTCCTCACAGTGTTTTCGGAAAAAGCAAAGTCTGACAATGTATGTAAAAGATACACAATACCAAAAAAAAAAAAAAAAACAGGTGTTTATTATATAAAGTATCATAGAAATATATAATATAACCAAACTAACTTATTTATAGACCAGAAATTAGAACCCATAATTTATGGATTTAAATTTTCCAACTGGCTTGATTGCCTAATTCCAGCAGAGAAAGCAAAGAGACTATAGGTAGTTCCTTGAGTCATATCATATTTTGTGAGAATGCTAAAATCCTGCTTGATAAAAAGCAAAATAAAATAAATGGATATGACATGTAATTAAAAGTATTATACAAGTACATTTTCCATTCAACTTGTCAGCATAAACTTCACCAGAAAATGAAATCGCTTTTCCAGCACCAGGAGGCAACCAAGTAGAATGCAATCTATGTCTTTATAAATGATACCAACGGGAAGATAACTTAGTCTTAGTACAAGGACAATAAAAGGCCTTAAATTTTTGACAAGACAAATGTACCTTTAATTCACTTTAATAAGATAAATCAATAATTAAAATGTGCTTGAGAAACTAAATTAACTGCATAATGAAGGTAACCAAATGAAGTACTGGCACATCAAAATATAGGAAGTATAAATCTGGTTAAAGAAAAAAAATAAAATTGACAAAGCTCAAGTTAATTTAAGAATAGAAATGTGGGCCAGCCACAGTAGCTTACGTCTAATGTAAGCTAATGTAATCCCAGCACATTAGGAGGCTAAGGCCAGAGAATTGCTTGAGCTGAGGAGTTTGAGGCCAGGCTGCCCAACATGGTGAAACCCAATTTCTACAAAAAATACAAAAATTAGCTTGGCATGGTGGCGAGCGCCTGTGGTCCCAACTACTAAGGAGGCTGAGGTGGGAGAACTGCTTGAGCCCAGGAGGTTGAGGCTGCAGTGAGCTGAGATGGTACCATTGCACTCCAGCCTGAGCAACACAGGAAGACCCTGTCTCAAGAAAATAAAAAAATAGAGAGAGAAAAAAATACTGTATTATTTAGGAAAAAGAGAGGGAATTTGTTGCTTTGAATTCAGAGCTGTGGACTAGGAATATGAATGTGCAGGTTCTAGCTTTAATTCCATGATTTTTCCTGGTAGTGAGTCTTAAGTAACCCTCTTAACTTCTCTTAGGCCTTACTTTTCTCAATTATGAAATAAGAAGATTAAAATAGACCAGTTGTTCTCAGGTGTTAGGATTTCAGAAACTATGCAAAAAAGGGGGAGACAGTTTCTATACTGCCCTATTAGGCTATTATTTTAAGAGGGAAATTCCTACCATCTATCATCACCATCATCTCATAAAAGTAGGACATTTCATTATGAAAAAATATGCAAAGGAAATAGTCTCAGAATAAATGAGCAGTTCTTTATATTGAATATGTTTAGCTTAAATTTGTGTGTTTTAAATTGTCATTTACAGACTGATGAAAACTTTGCAGGTTGACACTGGTTCACAGAACAGTGTTTTAGCAAATGGAATCTAAGGGCACATCTAACTCTTATATTCTATGGCTCATATCTTTTTTGAATACTCTCTTACTTATTTACAAAATAGGTATATGCATGGATTAAAAAAAACAGGTATTAGTGTTAAAGGTATTATTGGGCATTAAGGGTGGAGATAAAGAGAACTTCTACTTTTAAAAAAGTACTTATTTTTCTTTTCTTTTTTTGTTTGAGATAAAGTCTTGCTCTGCTGTCCAGGCTATAGTGTAGTAGCACGATCTCAGCTCACCACAACCTCCACGTCCCAGGTTCAAGTGATTCTCCTGCCTTAGCCTCCCGAGTAGCTGGGACTACAAGCATGAGCCACCATGTCTGGCTAATTTCTGTATTTTTAGTAGAGACAGGTTTTCACTATGTTGGCTAAGCTGGTCTCAAACTCCTGACCTTCTGATCCACCCATCTCGGCCTCCCAAAGCTGAGATTACAGGAGTGAGCAACTGCAGCTGACGAAACTGTTTATTTTTCATTGTGCCAAGGCAAAGAGTCTTGTCTGGGATAAATTCTTGTTTCAGTGTGGCCATTTTAGTTTTAGGTTCATGGACATACTAATATTCAGTTTTTCACTCCTTCCTTTTGAGATAATTAGAGTAGACTTATATTCATCTTTTCAGCATTTATTAGGAGGGCAGCAAAGCTCATGCTGCTATTCAGTCACTTTCCTTTTTTCTCCCTTATTTCCCTAAGATCTAACTATAAAGTGACAGGACTATGAAAATCAAAAATTAAGGAAACTAAAGTATAAAAAGTATCTTGCTTGTGTTACACTTGGAAATCATATAAACAGAATGCTAATGAATGACTATAGGCTTTTAAGGGTATTTTCCAAACTTAGCAGGGTAATTAACATATCATGCTAATACAAATATTAATAGAAATATAGTTATAATTTGAGCAGACTGCAGCCTACACCCTACTTTCTAGAGCTGAGAGTAGAGTAAGACGGCACTCTTTAAGCCTTATTTCCAGAGAAGATACAAAATGCTTTCTCAGTATTTATCCCACCAGAGATTTTGAAAGGAAGAACTCTGTAGGAAAAAATCCAACAAATGTGTAATTAAAAAAAATTTCTATACTTGATCTTAGCCAAAAGGCTAATAAGTAATACATTTTTATTTATCTTCTTTTCTTTTTTTTCTTTTGAAACAGTTTCACTCGTGTTGCCCAGGCTGGATTGCAATGGCATGATCTTGGCTCACTGTAACCTCCGCCTCCCATGTTCAAGTTATTCTCTTCCCTCAGCCTCCCAAGTAGCTGGGATTACAGACATGCACCACTATTCACAGCTAATTTTGTATTTTTAGTAGAGACAGGGTTTCACCAGGTTGGTGAGGCTGGTCTTGAACTCCTGGCCTCAGGTGATCCACCCGCCTGGGCCTCCCAAAGTGTTGGGATTACAGGCGTAAGCCACCTCCCCCAGCCCATTTTTATATTTATGTATAGGAGTCAGGTCCACTTAGCATTTGAAAGAGGGGACTACTGCACAGAGCATTATGTGGGGAAAGGAAGAGGACTTTATGGGATTGGGACAAATAACTTTGCCGTCTGACTACAGATAATGGACTAGGGGTGAGGATTGGCAGTGATTCATCTTCTAGAGTCCAGCTCACCCAGAAACCAGTACCTTTAACATTCATTCTCTTGCTAACTAAGGAGCAACATAGGACAGCATCTCTAGTGAGGCTGACCCTCATGTCATCCTTCTGAAGTTGCTAAGATGTGTACGTTGAAAGTTTCTAAATATTACACAATATGAAGTTTAAAGTCTATTGGTCCTATTAAGGGTACATGTTTTTAAATTCTCACCACTCTGCTGAAACAAAAGGCAGCCTGCAGAAAAACCTTTAAACCTTCGAAACCCTTTCCCGGTCTGGACTGGCATAATATCCTAGAATCAAAAATCTGTTCCTCTACCCTGGTGATGGCCCATTGCACTGTAAGTAAAAACCTCTAACACTCAATGTATGAGTACTCTGGCGACCAGTGCGCTGCACAAACACAAAGAATGGGGCTACAGACGCTATGAATTCACACAGAATTTGTTTGAAAAACAGAGCACATCATCAGTGGTGAAGCAAATGATGAGAAACCTAGAAACCAAGAGATTACATTCTAAATGTTTCTGCTACTTCTTCATTATTTAAGACTGTTAAAGCCGTTTTGATGCTGTCTATGTGAAACAGACATTTTCTAATAGCACTAGAGTTTTTCTCTGAGCCAAAACACCCATGCACATATGATACAACTTAACAAGCCAAGTAAAAGTGCCCAGAGTTTGAGTGGGCAGCCTTTATTGCCTACGTGTTGACAATCTCTGCCTCTGCTCTTGCCCTAGGAACACTGCAATCAGCATACCTGCCTAGTTAAGCACCTCTCCAGAGCCTTGACCTTCAGAGGCAGGTAACTCAAACCGCATGCCAGCTTTAAAGGTTACATTTTCTCACAATAAATCGTACTCACTTTTTATTTTCTTTTTGGTTAGGCAGCAAGAGGGATTTTTTTTTAAACTGCTTCTTATTTTTTAACCTTTTTCTTCATTCAGTAGAGACATTAATTTTGTAATATTGGCCATAGGGGTTGGCAATTTTTAATAAATAAAATGTTTTTATTTACACATTAATGGCAATAGGTAGGTTAAAATATCATTTGTAATTCACTATCAATATCCATAAGATAAACCCAGAAATATACAGTACTTCTGTAGTGTCCAGTCATTACTTAACATGGGAGGAGGGAGAGAGGGAAGGAGGGAGGACTGATTCTGAGAAAAGTTTCATAGACCAGTTCTTTCGTGGCTTGTCTCTCAGAGCATTCTCTCTGGTAAATATGACCTTGAGGGCCACATCTTTCTTCTGTTCTTCTATATACCACTGCTACAAGACCTCTAATCAAGCCCAGTTATTGATTACCCTGGGTTCATATAAGGTTTTTTGTTAGTCAACCTTTCCTTTGACCTCCACTCTTCAGACATCAGAATAATGTCTTCATTCATCTCTTGAACTTGCTTACATGCCTAAATTACTTGCCCACTTTTCTCTTTCTATATCTAACTTAAATTCTTGTGCACCCCTCTTCCTTCTCATTTTCAGCTAAAATAGCTCCTTGACACAGTGAAGAAAAAGTAATCTTGCCAATTTCTCTGGCTGTTATTTACCTTTCTCCTTTTCTTTTCGTTTTTTTTGAAACAGTCTCACTCTGTCTCCCAGGCTGGAGTACAGTGGTGTGATCTCGGCTCACTGCAACCTCCACCTCCTGGGTTCAAGTGATTCTCCTGCCTCAGCCTCCTGAGTAGCTGGAACTACACGCATGTGCCACCACACCTGGCTAATTTTTTATTTTTAATAGAGATGGGGTTTCACCATGTTGATCAGGCTGGTCTCAAACTCCTGACCTTAGGTGATCCACCGCCTCAGCCTCCCAAAGTGCTGGGATTACAGGCGTGAGCCACCGTGACTGGCCACCTTTCTCCTTTTCTTGGCTTTCCACTGGCATCCTGTCCTCACATCCTCACATATATCCATAAAATTCACAATTGGATTACTAGGGATGTAAATGATGGTAGCACTTTTCAAGCAAGAAACGTGAAATGCAAGCGTTATAAATAGTTTACACCACTCAACACAGAGAACGCTTTCCATGTTGCATGATGTGGCATAAATGTGCTTCTATTACCATAATAAACCATTTAAAATTATTTTTTAAAAGTCTGCACATATGAATGTAATTAAAATGGTCTGCAGCATGGTAAATCTAAAGTAATTTAGGAAACAACCTTTGTTTCTTTGCTGAAAGACTAACATCTGTCTGTTATTAAAGTTATGCAGAGCAAAGAACTCAAATTCATTCCTATGGTGGTTAAACTATGTACTCATTATTAAACAGTCTGAAACTGAAATCAGTTTAAACAATATAACAAACTTCTAGTAATTTTTCAGAAAATAAGTTTATCTAACTCTCCTTTTCCGTCCACTGAACTATCAGTTAAATGGGAAGAGGCAAAAGTAAAGCCCTTTCCTTACCTTCATGGCTATTCGTATCAGATGGTCTATTGCTTCTGCTTCTGCTACTGCTACTTCTATTCAGTGAGCCCTTCCAATCGACCTTTCCCAGTTGCCTCAACCTCTTCTGTGGACTACCTCCATACCTATGTCACCGCCAACCTTAAAGGCCTGATACCAGTACATTCTTTTCAACTTCTCTGTGGATGTCGATGGTGTTATTTTACTCCCTAGTATTCTAAGAATGCTTTCTTCCCTTGACTCCTGAGACAAAGCACTGATTTTGGTTATCTCCCTTTTCTTTTGTAACTCTTTCTTGGCAAGTTCTTTTCAACCTCCATCTTAAATGTAGGCATTATTCTCTAAGATTTTATCTGCAGTCTTCCTCTTCTGCTCCAAAGACTTTTCTTTGAATTTACCTATTATCTTTTTGGCAACTTCCAAATATCTCTCCAGGTAAAACTTCTAACTGCATGGTTAAAATCTTCACCCAGAGAAACCCAGTACTAAATCTAAACCCATCATTTTCACCCTGCTCTCCAACCTCAATAGATGTCATGTTTCAAAAAGGGTATCACCTTTATACCATCTTGACTCAAACTCTTTACTTATATTGATTATTATATTCCCTAGTCTCTTATATTTTGTCATTTGCCTGTTTTTACCACCGAACTGCCTATAGTTCAATCACATTGCTACAGACTAGTTAAGGTACTCATCACATTTCATATGGAGGATAATATAGCTACTTAGGCCAGGCACAGTGGCTCATGCCTCCAATCCGAGCACTTTGGGAGGCTGAGGAAGGCAGATCACTTGAGGCCAGTAGTTCGAGACCAGCCTGGCAAACATGGTGAAACCCTGTCTCTACTAAAAATACAAAAATTAGCTGGGCATGGTGGTGCACTCCTGTTGTCCCAGTTACTAGGGAGGTTGAGGTTGGAGAATCATTTGAACCCGGGAGGCAGAGATTGCAGTGAGCACCACTGTACTTCAGTCTGAGCGACAAAGAAAGACTGTCCTGCTACCTCCACCACCAAAAAAAAGCTACTTAATTAGTCTTCAAACCCTATTCCTTCCTCTGATACATTCTCATCACTTTTCCCAGAATAAGTGGTAACTTATGACCATATTTCCTGCTATTACAGACTGGTAATTCCTATTAAATGAATTCCATGCTAGTAGGTTCTATTAAGTTACTATGCTCTTGAATCTGTATGGGAAAAAGCAACAAGCATGTGGCTAGAGTGTAATCTTGCAAACGATATGAGGTCATTTCTGGTAACAATCATCTTGAGAAAAGGCATTTCCTTCATTCAAGAAACAGGAATTAAGAGAATGGTCCTTAGGTAAACAGGCAAAAGGATGTAACTTATCTTGTACTATATTCAAGAGTCATAAAATCCAGACTGACTATGCTGTAGAAGGTGTATCAAATGACACTCAAAACATGAAAGCAGATCAAAATAGTGGAAATGAGGGGCCAAGGCAAAGCCCCTCACTTTCCATAGGTCTCCATGTGGAATGGGCGAGGCCTTGTAGGCTGCATTAGCTAGAGGGAGATTAGAATCCTGTAGTCTGTAAGCCAGTTTATTTAGATTTCTTATACCTTCCCTGTTTCCTCCTTAGCAAATGTCTTGATAAAAATATCAACCTTTCTCAACTGTGTTAAAGAAAATGAAGTACCGACAACTCTGCCTCATGCTTGGGTATACCCAAGGTCTCATAAATTTATAAAATACTACGCTAAAAATCAAGAAATAACATGGATTATGCAAAATAACTGATGCCAAACTACTGGTAACCTCTTTTTTTTGAGACAGAGTCTTGCTCTGTCACCCAGGCTGGAGTCCAGTGGCGTGATCTCAGCTCACTACAACCTCTGCCTCCTGGGTTCAAGCAGTTCTCCTGCCTCAGCCTCCTGAGTAGCTGGGATTACAAGTGCGTACCACCAAGCCCAGCTAATTTTTTTTTTTGTATTTTTAGTAGAGACGGGTTTCATCATGTTGGTCATGCTGGTTTTGAACTCCTGACCTCATGATCCACCTGCCTTGGCCTCCCAAAGTGCTGGGATTACAAGTGTGAGCCACTGGACCAGGCTAACTCCTTCTTAGAAAATATCAATTGAAAGGTAAATGTATAACATATTTTTATTTTGGGTAAATTCTCTGTTGATATCATTGTGGGAAAGGAACAGGCATAAGAATTGGATTTCAGTACAGTTGGGTAGATTTTAATTTGGCTTAAAAATTAAATCCAAAGACTATTATTAGATTGGTGTCAACCAGTAGGAGGTTTATGGTAGTTAGTTGCAGGCATTTCTTGTTCTTTTTCTTTTTTTTTTTTTTAATCAATGACTTAGAAGAAGTTGTTTGAAGGTATACTTGTTAAATTTACAAATGACACAACACCCAAAGGGATTGCAAATATGCTAGAAGACAGCCAGAATTCAAAATTTTGCAATGGGTAGCAGTGCTGAACTGAAATCGAACAAAAATTAAATCCATCAGGGATAAATGAAAATCTTACAACTAGTTTTTAAAAAATCAATTATATAGGTCCAGGAATTGGGATAATCTAACTTGATTGCAGTTTGTGATAGTAAAAATAAAAGGAAAAAAAAAAGGAATGAGTCAACATACATTCACAGCCAGATACAATTACTATAAAAGCTAAAAATCTGTCAATAATCTAGGATGGGAACCGATACTTCAAATATTTGACCTTTGAAACTACAAGTTATAAGGCATTGCTCAATTGTATTCTGCAAAGGTAAAACTTAATAGCATTAGGTTAAATAACAGATGACATTTTAGAAGGGGCATTGACAAATTATAATAAATAAGGGAGGAAACAACCAACATTCTGGAGGAGTCAATAATCAAGAAATGGTTGACAGAGTATCCATAGATAGCATAGAAAAGTACGTTGGACAAGTAAACAAATGGAAAGAGCTTCAGATATTTAAATAACTGTTATAAATCTCAAATTTTGTATTGTTCCTCATGGTGGAATGAGTGAGAGCTGACAGGAGGACAGATCTTAATTCAGTATGAAGAAAAATACATTTATATGTATATAATATTCATATATATATGTATTTTCTTTCTTTCTTTCTTTCATTTGTTTGTTTTTGTTTTTGTTTTGAGACGTGGTCTCAATCTGTCTCCCAGAGTGCAGTTGTATGATCTCGGCTCATTGCAATCTCTGCCTCTTGGGTTCAAGCAATTCTCGTGCCTCAGCCTCACGAGTAGCTGGGATTGGTGGCAGACACCTGTAATCCTGGCCCATTTGTATGTTTTTGTTATTGTTTTTGGTTTTTAAGTAGAGACTGGGTTTCACCATATTGGTCATGCTGGTCTTGAACTCCTGACCTCAAATGATCTACTTGCCTCGGCCTCCCAAAGTGCTGGGATTACAGGTGTGAGCCACCGCACCCAGCCGAGTATGAAGAATATGTTTTTAATGCAACAGGAGCCCACACAAAGTAAGGAATTCCATGTCATTGGACATTTACCTCTAAGGGGTGTTATACAACATACTGCTGCATTAGTAAAAGTGATTAAATTAGATGATCCTCTAGGATTCCTTACAATAAATAAGATTTCATGTTTCTATGAAACAATCATTAGCCTAAATTATTTGAGAATCACAATTTCAAAGTTTTCTACCATTTTCCAGTCTGCTACTCATTCAGAGTATTAGTTTGGATGTTGTGGAAAAAAAATTCCCAACTATCTTGACATTATTAAGATAGTGTTTTGAGTTCATTTGCCAATCACAATGATTGGGCTCACTGAGCCATATATGCTTTAACCCAATCTCCCCAGGCACCAGAGGCACGTTTGCAAAATGTCTGGCTGGATTTAGAATTTCAGTTTATGATTGTGGATTAGGGATTTTCTCATCTGATCTATGGAACCAAATCTGCCTCAATAAACCATGAGCAAAATAGGTAAACTTTATGCTTTACAACATCCCCCCACCACTACTGTGTGATATGTATGCATGCATGGGGGATGCACATATGTCTGAGTATAAATATACATGCATGTCTATGTATCTATATGTACATACATATAAATGACATGACACAGTAATAGAAAAAAGGTGAACAAAAAGAAGAGATAAGTGACTAACATAACCACATGAGATAAAACACAGTGTTTGTAACTAAGACAAGCTCCTAGCAGGTTTCCAAATTGAAAACTGAGAGGGAGGCCTTTGTTTCTCAATGGTGGGAAAAGGCAAGAGGAGCAGAAGGGGAAAGAGGAAAATAAAAGCTCAAGGCCCTGGTGGCAGACAAGTCAATAGAGAAACAATAATAAGAGCTCCATGTAAGTATGATTTACTCCAACATAACATTTTTTCATAATAATCATCTCATTATTTGGCCACAATTATAAATATTGGTCAAATAAAATCTCAAGAAATGGGAAGTTTCACCTGGCGTGGGGTTATAGCACTACAAATCAACAGAAGCCAGTTAGAAGTTAATTGTGCATTTGCAAATTGCATTTTGTTGCTCATTAGTATTTCAAAATTAGTACATTCAGTTCCATATCAGAGAGCCTACAAAATACAAATAATGTCCATTTTCTTTCTCATTCTTTTTGTTGTTCATGCTGCACATATTTATCCTAATGAGTACATGGCTTTTTAAATGATAGCTGTAAAACAAAATAGCACTATTTGCATTTCAGAGTAATCAGTAATATCCAGCTTGAATTTTGTCCAGAACAAAAATGGTTCTAAAGAAAATCTGTCTCATGCTGATCAGTTCAAAATCTGAAATTACAGCTTTAAAAATCTGCTACAAAATGATAAAAATGCTTCTTGAATGTCATATTAAAATTTTAGATAGACCTGGTTTAATACTATGAAGACAAAAATAAGCAATGTTAAAGTTTTGAAAAGACTGCAATCTATACAAATTTGACTTCACTTAATTGTTACCGAGGAACTACTTAACTCCGTACAATATGATCTTTGTCCTTTCTACTTTATTAAAATTATTGTTGCAGCATCAGCAATATAACCTAGGCCAACAAATCAAATAACCTACTTTTTAATCCTTAATCTACTCGTTAAGTGTCTCCAAAACAAAGGAGAAAATTATCTTAGCCAGTAGGCAGTGAATCTGTGCTGGCAGCAAGAGCAGCTCCAATAAAAGAAGAAGTTCCAAAAATCATCCCAGGAAAATGAGAAAAGATATTTCCTGGGGAAAAGGGCATACCCCAAACTGGTATTTTCCAATGCATGTCTTATACCTCAATAAAAACAAATTCACAAAAGTTTTTAAAAACTAAGATTGTTGATTAATCCTGTTTTTCCTGAAATTTTCTCTCCCGTAAGTTTTCTGAACATTGCTTGGGCATGAATGCCCTACCCAGCTTCTCTGACAACTCTTATTTCTGTATTTAAATGAGGTATTCACCAAAGTTCTTTCCTTGTATTTCTTCCTTTCTTATACTCTTTGCCCTAGTGATCTCTTTTAATCTCATCATTTTAATTACCTTTGTAGATACAGTTGCAAAGATAGGTAATTACTGATACCAACCATTCTTCTAATTCTAGCACCATATGTTCATCTCCCTATTAAGCAACTCTAGCTATATACTCAATGTATACATCAAACCAGAGAAGTTCAAAAATAATTTCTCCCCAAGCCAGGATCCTTTCTCTGAACCTACTGCTCTCCTCCTTTAAAAAAAAAAAAGGCAAAAAATGCATCGCTGTATAGCAAGTTATTCAGGCTCAAAATTGTCTTTGGTCATATCCTGGCCACATAAAAATATAAATTACTGTTGAGTCATGCTTCCTAATGTCAGTTGCATCTACTCTGGTTTAGGTTGTCTTTCATGGACTACTGCAGTAACCTAATAACAAGGTCCTCCTTCAATTTTTTACTCTATCCATTTTATTCATATCTGTCAGATCAATCATCACAAAACCACCTCTTGATAATATTCCTCTGCTACTCAAAATTCCTCAATCGCCTCCCCTAAGCCTTATAAATAAAATTGAAAATTCTTGACATGGCATTCAAGGCCATCATGATGTCATCTCAAACTTCTTCCACTGCAGAATTTCTCTTACTACTATATACATATCCTATGCTTCAGGCAAGATGGACTACTTACTGCTCTTCAAATTTATTCTGTACTTTCTTTACCTTATATCTCGGTTTAATTTGCTTTCTTTCTACCTAGAATTCCAACCTCTTCTCTTCCTCCTATCATCCCTAACCCCCACAAGCCATACTAAGATCTTAATTTACTGGAATTTCATCAAGGGGATTCCATCACCTCTCTGAAGCTTTACCTGGACCCCTAACTTGTCTTTACCTTCACTGAACCCCCAAGGTATTTCAGGATCTATTTTTATTAGGAAGGATACTGCCAAGTGGCAGCAAATAGTGAGAGGCTAAGCAAATGGTTGATGAATCACGGCCTTAAAAGAATACTTAGAAACTTTCCATAACTCCTACAGAATATGATCTGTTAACATACCATGATCTTATTATAAAATCTAAGTTTATAGTACATTATTGGTTACAGTCTGTAAAGTGCATCAAATGCCAAAATGGTTACCTACTTATAATCTTTATCTTACAAAAGAACTCTACTGTCATATTAACTAGGACTGGGATGAGGATATGGCAAGGAGGGCCTTTGTTAAAAACACTCACTCAAGCCATCTTAGACACCTATTTACCACAGTGGCTCATGCCTGTAATCCCAGTACGTTGGGAGGCTGAGGCTGGTAGATCACTTGAGGTCACGAGTTTGGGACCAGTCTGGCCAACATGTCAAAAACCCATCTCTCCTAAAAATACAAAGACTAGGCAGGCATGATGGCACATACCTATAATCCCAGCTACTCGGGAGGCTGAGACAAGAGCATCACTTGAACCTGGGAGGAAGAGAATGCAGTGAGCCAAGTTTGCACCACTACACTCCAGACTAGGCAACAGAGCAAGAATCCATCTCAAAATAAATAAATAAATAAATAAATAAATAAATAAATAAATAAATAAATAAATCAAACTATCATTGCCATTCTTCACAGAATTAGAAAAGACTAATTTAAATTTCATACGGTACCAAAAATTGCTAAGACAATTCTAAGCAAAAAGAGCTGAGCTGGAGGCATCACACTACCTGACTTCAAACTATACTACAAGGCTATAGTAACCAAAACAGCATGGTACTGGTATCAAAACAGACATATAGGCCAATGGAACAAAACACAGCCCTCAGAAATAACACCACACATTTACAACCATCTGATCCTCGACAAACCTGACAAAAAGCAATGGGGAAAGGATTCCCTATTTAATAAATGGTGCTGGGAAAACTGGCTAGCCATATGCAGAAAACTGAAACTAGACCCCTTCCTTAAACTTTATACAAAAATTAACTCAAGATGGATTAAAGACTTAAATGTAAAACCCAAAACCGTAAAAGAAGAAAACCTAGGTAATACCATTCAGGACATAGGCATGGGCAAAGATTTCATGATGAAAATGCCAAAGGCAATGGCAACAAAAGCCAAAATTGAGAAATGGGATCTAATTTTACTAAAGAGCTTCTGCACAGCAAAAGAAATTAGCATCAGAGTGAATAGGCAACCTACAGAATGGGAGAAAATTTTTGCAATCTACTCATCTAACAAAAGTCTAATATCCAGAATCTACAAGGAACTTAAGCGAATTTACAAGAAAAAAACCCAAACAACCCCGTCAGGAAGTAGGCAAATAACATGAACAGACACTTTTCAAAAGAAGACATTTACACAGCGAAGAAACATGACAAAAAGCTGAACATCACTGATAATTAGAGAAATGCAAATAAAAACCACAATGAAATACCATCTCATGTCAGTCAGAAAGGTGATTATTAAAAAAATAGGGAAGACTAGATGATGGCCAGGCTGTGGAGAAATAGGAATGCTTTTACATGTTGGTTGGAATGTAAATTAATTTCACCATTGTGGAAGACAGTGTGCTGATTCCTCAAGGATCTAGAACCAGAAATACAATTTGGCCCAGCAATCCCAATACTGGGTGATATGGTTTGGCTCTGTGTCACCAACTAAATCTCATCTTGAATTCTACTCCCATAATTCCCATCTATTGTGGGAAGGACCTGGTGGGAGATCACTTGAATTATGGGGGTGGTTTCCCCATAATGATCTCATGGTAGTAAATTAGTCTCACAAAATCTGTTGGTTTTATCAGGGGTTTTTTGCTTTTGCATCTCTCTCATTTTCTCCTGCCACTGCCATGTAAAAAGTGCTTGTGATGATTCTGAGGACTCCCCCCAGTCATGTGGAAGTATAAGTCCAAATAAACCTCTTTTTCTTCCCAGTCTTGGGTATGTCTTTATCAGCCAAGACTTGGGTATGTGAAAACAGATTAATACACTGGGCATATACACAAAGGAATATAAATCATTCTATCATAAAGACACATGCACACATATGTTTATTGCAGCACTATTTACAACAGCAAAGACATGGAACCAACCCAAATGCCCATGAATGATAGACTGGATAAAATAATGTGGTACATATATACTATGAAATACTATGCCGCCATAAAATATGAGATTATGTCCTTTGCAGGGATATGGATGAAGCTGGAAGCCATTATCCTCAGCAAACTGACTCAGAAACAGAAAACCAAACATTGCAGGTTCTCACTCTAAGTGGGAGCTGAACAATGTAAACACATGAACACAGGGAGGGGAACGACACACATGGGGCTTGCTGGGGGGGTGGCAAGGAGAGGGAACCTAGATGATGATTTAATAGGTACAGCAAACTACCATGGCACAAATATATCTGTGTAACAAACCTGCATGTTCTGCACATATATCCCAGAAGTAAAAGTTAAAAAAAAAAAGCACACTTCGAGTATAGGATCACCACAAAACCACAGCCTTACATTGAACCAATGAACATGTAACACAAGCACATTAGTAATTCTATTACCACCACTAACACCAGTTTACAAGTTATATGGTAAATACTGGGTTAATCTAAAGCATAGGATGGCCATCTTAATATTTTTGTGCTGCTATTACAGTATACCACAGACTAGGTAATTTGTAAATAACAGAAAATCATTTCTTACAGTTTTGGAGGTGGGAAAGTCAGAGATCAAGGCACCAGCAGATTGCACATCTAATGAGGGCTACTCGGCTTCTAAGGAATGGTGGTTTATTGCTGTGTGCTATGGAAGGAATGAATTCTGTGTCTTCACATGGTAGAAGAATGGAAGAAAATGAACCTACTCTCTCAAACTGTTTTATGAGTCCTAATCCCATCCATAAGGGCTCTGCCCTGAGGACCTAATCACCTCCTAAAGGCTTCACCTCTTAATACCATCATATTGATGATTACATTTCAACACCTGAATTTTGGGGACATTCAGACCATAGCAGTTGTGAAATAAGGGCAAAAAAAATATACAGACCTGTCCAGCCTAACCAGTATGGTGAAACGCCATCTTTACTAAAAATACAGACATTAGCCAGGCATGGTGACGCACATCTGTAATCAAAGCTACTCAGGAGGCTGAGGCTGCAGAATTGCTTGAACCTCGGAGGCAGAGGTTGCAGTGAGCTAAGATCACACCACTGCACTCCAGCCTGGGCGACAAAGCGAGACTTAGTCTCCAAAAAAAGAAAAACAAATATAGACTTGTCACAGGTACAGGATTGCTTCATCATCGTCTTGGAAAGCTAGGAGTATACTAGTCTTTAAAAATGAGTAATAATAACCATCAATATCAAAACAATGATCTTTCTTTCCATATCTTAAAATGGTAACACCATTTTCTATTTTCTGTGCACCATTTTCTGGGGAAGCCCCAAATATATCGAGATTTTTTTTTGAAGACAGGGTCTTCTTCTATTACCCAGGATGGCGTGCAGTGGCATGATCATGGCTCACTGCAGCCTGACCTCCAGGGCTCAAGTGATCCTTCTGCATCAGCATCCCCCCCAAGCCCCTGCCCCCACCCTAATAGCTGGAATTAAAGGTGCATACCACCACACCTGGCTACCTTTTTTTTTGTTTGTATTTTTGTAGAAATAGGGATTTGCCATGTTGCTGTTTTTGAACTCCTGGGATCAAGTGATTGGCCCGCCTTGGCCTCCCAAATTGATGGGTTACAGGGGCAAACCACTGTACCCAGCCCATATCTAGATTTTTAAATTAAATCAGGTTGATAACTCTGCAGCACAGAGATATACCACGTTATTGGTGTTATTAGAAAACTAGAGCACAGAGTGTTATTGGTCAAGGTAAGAAAATGCATCAGAGTTTTCTTATTCCCCATCTAGTGCTTTATTCAATAGACCATGAGGAAAAGCCAATTAGAAGGTTGGTTTTTTTTTTTTTTTTTGGTACGCTTTTCAGAACTATAACAAAAAAAGGATATAGGAAAAATTAACAAATTTTGAAATAAAACTTCAAGGTAAATATATAGATTCTACATGAATTCAAAAATGCAGTAATGAAGAAAAAAGAAGACTTGATGGGAGGGGGAGATGAAAGAAGGGAAGGAAAATAGGAAAAGAAAATGGGTGCCACTGAAGACTTTCATACAGGTGTTTTGTTCTGAGTATAATTCAGAAGTCAGGTAAGTCAGTAAGTTTGGTGAGGAATTTGAAATCAGCAAAGTATAAAGAAATTCAAATGTACAAAGTCCACAAAGGGGACAGAACACTGTAATGTGAAGAAAACTAGGTTCTGATCCTATATAAACCACTTTTTTTTGCTATGTGCTACTTGACAAATTACTGAAATTGTAGGACCTGCTTCCTCATTGGTAAAATGAGATTAGACAAGATAGCATCTCGAGCTTATTCCAGAACAGTATATGATATTCTAATAGTTAAGGTTATACCCAGCTAGGAGAAGGACAGGAAACTGCTTAAAACCTATAGAGATAACTATAGAGTAGGCCCTCCACCCTCCATATCCATGGGTTCTACATTTATAGATTCAACTAACCACAAATCAAAAATGTTTGGTGGTTGTGTCTGTACTGAATATGTACAGGCTAATTTTCTTTTCATTGTTCCCTAAACAATAAAGTACAACTTTTTACCTAGCATTTACATTGTAGTAGGTATTATAAGTAATTTAGAGACGATTTAAAGTATATATATAGAACGATGTGTACAGGTTATATGCAAATACTATACCATTTTATATAAAGAACTTGAGCATCCATGAATTTTGGGATCTGCAGAGGTCTTGGAACCAATCCTTCATGGATACTGAGGGACAACTGTGTTTGACCGGTGCTGCTGGATACCCAGGAATAGATGAACTCTAGAATCTAAGTTCGCTTTTATTCAACTAATCAAATTTCTCACATTAACCACTAATAGGAAACATTTCTACAGTATAATATATGCTTTTTAAAAAGAGTATAAGAGAAAGACTAAAGATATAGTAATAAAGGAAGGCAAAGAATGAGGAAAGGTGAAAAACCAATCAACTACTCATTATAGTTCAATGTTGTAGGTAACTAAGGCATTCAACGGCCATTCCTAAGAAGAGTGTGTTGAGAGTAAAAGCCTTTTTGTTGATGTTGAATGGTAGATATAGCGAAAGAAAAGGCTTCTCACTTTTATTTTCACTCTCTAATCCAGAGACTCCCAATTTTACCGTGCAATTCTGTAAGTCCTGGAGCACAGGCAACTCATAGGACAACATAATAACATACAAAACTCCATTTGGTGACACCTTCTGAACACACCTGTGAAGGATAACTCTACCAATTGTTCTATAAAGTAGATAAATGATTCACAAATAAACACCAAAGAAGATATGTTGTCAGTTAATTTACATAGTCATCATAAACCTGAAAAGTAACTGACTTTTCACACACCATTCATCTGTAAAAATATTTTAAGCTCAGCTGGCACTAATCTTTGCAGTCTTGTCAAATGCTTAAAATGAATTTACCAGAGCAAGTAGCATCTGGCTAAACTAATCATAGGGAGTTGTCAGCTATTTTACTGCAAATTGTCAGTATAAATGACCAAAGGTGGGGGAGAAGTTTAAAAAGGCAGCAATTCCAACACAACCAGTACTTTAATACAAAGATAGTAATTAATCTCCACACAAGCGGGCATTAATGTTACAAATAATATAATTTGTCATTCACGGCCCATCCTGCCATTCTTGCAGCTAGCAGAATCAAAAGGCAGCTGAGATATTTTACTAACAGAGAATGGAAGAATTCAGTCTTTGGAGAAATTTTTAGTTGTTCATAAATTTCTTAAAACCAAGGTTCAGAAAACTTTTTATATTTTTTCTTCTTTTTATTCGATTGGTCAAATAACACTTTATATTTTCCTATAATGTCAGGCAGTATAGAACTATGGCACCACCTATTGTGAAATTACATAAGTGCTGATATCAGATGACAGCCTATGAGATACTGGAGGAGCAGAACGGGGGGATTTAGTGTTCGAGGAAATGTTAATGACTATTTTCTTCAACGGTTCCTTCTGAGGCCATAAGGCTAGAAAAGGTTTTTGCAATAAAGAAGCCTCAAACCTGTTATAAATATTTTCCTACTCTATTGGAAATAGGTTCATAATACAGTGTGCACATGACTGTCTTAGCTAGCAGTATGGGCATTAACAACATTCTTTTAGCCAAGTGGCCAAAAACTGTGATTATGGTTATTATAATCTCCTGGCTAGACATTTTCAGAGTATTCAAAACAAATTCATTTCACACTCAATCTTCCTTTTGTATAGAAATGCAAGTTAGTATAACAGACATAGCATATAGTTAACAGACACAACTGATATAGTCCTAAGTTACAATCCTCTAAGGGAAGAATATCCCTAAGATGATGTCTACAAATGTCAGGTCAAACTGGTTCAGATACTTCTTCCTAATAAATGTTTAAAGAGGTTGTTCTAATTTGGAGCTTAAAAAGCAGGATCAATCAAAAATAATTAAAACATCACAATGGAATAATGTATATGCAGTTTTACTAATAGCTCTTTTAAACACACACACACACACACACACACACACACACACACACACACCCGTAGAAATCTAACCCCAAGAGTTAGGTTTCTGAAGAAGCCCACAGTACAATAAATCATTATTTACAATTTTAATGTTTCATGGGAAAACAGCTTTAGAGGCATAAAGGAATCAAATTATTTTATGAAAGATCTTGTATATCTTTGTCTCCCATTAATATCTACAACAACTAAAGCTGTATTAATCTAACCCTTTCCTATGGTTAGTACCATTTCACATAACAAAGTCATAAAGCACACACATCATTTCTTACTCAGCCTGTAGCATCCTCGTTGCTAACACACATGAGAATGTAATCCTAAGTATAATTTCTAACATTTTCCTTTCTGCGCCCTACGGCTTAATTTCAAAACTTTATATCCTTGTTATGTCTTCTGACTTTTTATCAGCATAGTAAAGTAGTTAAAAGGCTTGGGGTCTTTGACTATATATGAGAACTTAGGTAAGTTACATAATCTCCCTAAGTTCCAGCTCCTTCATCTGTAAAGTGAGAATAATAACAGTACCTTACCTATCAGGGTTTATGTGACGTATACAGGAGATAAGTGCATATTAAAAACTTATGTGCCAGGTACTATGCTCAAACTGTATAAATCCAACTGTCACTACTGCTTAACTGCTATTTTAGATACTAATAGACACTATTCTATTTAACTTCTTTTTTCACTTTTTTTTTTTTTTGAGATAGGGTCTTACTCTGTCACCCAGGATGGAGTGCAGTGGCAATCATGATTCACTGTAGCCTCAACTTGTCCCGAGGTCAAGCAATCCTCAAACCTCAGCCTCCTGAGTAGCATATGGGGACTATAGGAGCATGCCACCACACTCAGCCAATTTTTGTATATATATATATATTTTTTTTTTTTGTAGAGATGGTATTTCGCCATGTTGCTCAGGCTGCTCTCAAACTCCTGGGCTCAAGCAATTTGCCTACCTTGGCCTCCCAGAGTGCTGAGATTACAGGTGTGAGCCACAAGGTCTAGCCCTTTTTTCACTTTTTAAAAGTACTCCTAAGCGAATGCATATGATTTGTGAATACTCAATCCAAAGGCTAAAAATACATATAAGTATGTATTCACATATGCTAGTGCTTTTCATGAGGAAGACTCACATTTAGGAATTATTATATGTGTCATGCATCATAATAGTGTAACAGAACAAATCAAAATTGAACATAATCATAAATATCATTATCATTATTATTATTATTATTATTTGAGACGGAGTTTCACTCTTGTTACCCAGGCTGGAGTGCAATGGCGCGATCTCGGCTCACCGCAACCTCCGCCTCCTGGGTTCAGGCAATTCTCCTGCCTCAGCCTCCTGAGTAGCTGGGATTACAGGCACGCGCCACTACACCCAGCTAATTTTTTGTATTTCTAGTAGAGACGGGGTTTCACCATGTTGACGAGGATGGTCTCGATCTCTTGACCTCGTGATCCACCCGCCTCGGCCTCCCAAAGTGCTGCGATTACAGGCTTGAGCCACCGTGCCCGGCCTATTATTATTTTGAGACTGAGTCTGTCTCTGTTACCAAGGCTAGACTGCAGTGGTGCCATTTCAGCTCACTGCAACCTCTGCCTCCTGGGCTCAAGCAATCCTCCCTCCTCAGCTTTCTGAGTTTCCAAGTAACTGGGACTACAGGCCCATGCCACCACACACCTGTCTAATTTTTTGTCAAGATGGGGTTTCGCCATTTTGCCCAGGCTGGTCTCAAACTCTTGAACTCAAGTGATACACCCACCTTGGTCTTCCAAAGAGCTGGGATTACATGAATGAGCCCCTGCAACTGGCCCATAGTCATAATTATGTTCTAGCACTGTAATAGTCTCTGGGTATATGAAAATAAAGTTCAGGCTGGGCATGGTGGCTCACACCTGTAATCCAAGCACTTTGGAGGCCAAGGGGGGCGGGGGCGGATCACCTGAGGTTGGGAGTTCAAGACCAGCCTGACCAACATGGTGAAACCCCGTCTTAAAAAAAGGAAAAAATAATATTTTTTTTTTAAAAAAGAAAGAAAATAAAGTTCAATGGCAGAAATTTTACTTTTAATTGTGGTATTCCAGAAAGCCTATTTGAAGAGGGTGGCAACTTAACTGAACCTTAAATTATGGATTAGATTTAGAATTTCAAAGTCGTGGTCATAGGAAATCTATGTGACATGAATATCACAGAGATAAGAGTAGAAAAGTGTATTCTGGGCATAGTGAACAGAAGGTAATTTAGTGCACCTAGAGTACACAGTCCTTAATGGGAAGCTTTAGGAAACAGTTTGAAAGTAAGGGACTTGATCTTCAGTCCAAAGTATTTAGATTTTGATTGTTAAATAGCAGCATTATTAGTTCTACAGATATGTAATAAAAAGGGTCCTATCGGGAACCTCTGTTAAACTCTTCATTGAGCCTTCTTTTCATTATCTAAAATGTAAAAAAAAAAAAAATTAAAGCTTTGTTTTCCCCTTATTTTTCAAGCAGTGCATTTTAAATGGGAAATATTCAGAGGCTATATGAAAGTATAAAGAACATTTTATCTTACTTATTAATGATCTAGTGGGTGTAATATTTGAAAAGAAAGAAGAGAGATACAGATGTTTCTGTAAGCAGTAATGATACCCAAGATATCTGGCCTTTTGTAAATCTAAACTGAGAGACTACTCCTGATTGTCAATTCTGACCCCAAGCAACATCAATATCAGATAAAATGCTACCTACATGGAACCTTTTGCTGGAAATCACAACAGAAGCCTTAAGAAAAAGAAAAAAGGTCTCACAATTGACTTATCACATTCCTTAAAATAGTAAGCTAACTGGAAAACTACAGCGTTCATTTAGTTTATGGTCAAGAAAGAGAAAATGTTTGTCATATTCCTTTTACAGAAAATAGAATTCTAAGTTTATTTAAAAATACTTTTTAATTCTAGAAAAATATTTCAAAACTTACATTCAGTAAACTATAAGTTTAACACATAAACTCAAGTTCCTCAACTACAACACAGACATGCGTATACATATATAAATGAGATTATATTTATTTGATTTTAGAACACATACAATGTTCATATTTGCACCTATGAGATATACGGAAAGCCTTCATTATATGACCCACAATTCAATGAAAATGGAAAGTTTCTTATTTAAAAAACTGCTGCAATTCTATCAATATCTTTTCTATGGCTAGGGCCTCTTCCTGTCAGAGAACTCCCCTTCCCTATAAGGACTGCCTTCTGCTGCTGGACATCTTTCCTCTTCCACTGAACCCTTACAATTGTTGCATTGTGGACAACTATTCCTCTGTTTGTATGACAAGGTTTGCAGACTCACCATCATCAGAGTATTCCTCTTTTGGACACATCTCAGTGGGCTAATTGTCAACATCTTTAAGAATATGCTAATGAAAGACTATAATTACATATTGAAATGTTCACTGTGATGTTTTCTATAAGAAAATGTTGAAAAGTATCTAATAATAGAATATTGGCTACATATAAACCATAATCCATAATATAATGCTATACTACCATTAAAAATACTAAGAAATATTTAATGCAAAGGAAAGATAAACATCGTATATTCTTATGTGAGGAAATCATGTAAATAGGCTGGGTGTGGTGGCTCACGCCTATAATCCCAGCACATTGGGAGGCTGAGGTGGGTGGATCACCTGAGGTCAGCAGTTTGAGACCAGCTTGGCCAACATGGAGAAACCCCGCCTCTACTAAAAATATAAAAACTAGCTGGGCGTGGTGGTGCACACCTATAATCCCAGCTACTTGGGGGTCTGAGGCAGGAAAATTGCTTGAACCTGGGAGGTGGAGGTCGCAGTTAGCAGAGATCACCACTGCACTCTAGTCTGGGTGACAGAGCGAGACTCCATTTTTTTTTTTAAGGAAAAAAAAAAAAAAAAAGAAAAGCCCACAAATATATCTGTAATGTATTTTTTGTTTAGAAAATGAATTTATAAAAATGCACAGGGGCCGGGCTTGGTGGCTTACACCTGTAATCCTAACACTTTGGGAGGCTGAGGTGGGCAGATTGCCTGAGCTCAGGAGTTCAAGAACAACCTGGGCAACATGGTGAAATCCCATCTCTAAAACAAACAAACAAACAAACAAATAAATAAAAATATTTTTTAAAATGCCCAGAAAAAAATAGACTCAAATGCTATAAACCAAAATATTAACAGTGGTTAAGTTTGGATCACATACAATATTTATTTTCTTAAGTTTTTCCTAAATTATCTAACATGAACACTATTGCCTTTGTAACTGGTAAAAAGCAATACATTGAAAGAACATGTTGAAAATTTAAGTGCTTTAGAAGAAAGTACTCCTGATTACCAATTTCTCCCTTTTCTCTTCAACCTCCACCAATCTTGTTCTTACCACTAACACTGTATCTAAACAGGACTTGTCAGGCTCATGTTGTCAGATTTCATGTTTAATTCTGTCTTCATTTCACTTGACCTCATTTCATTCAAAAAGTTTCATCACTCTCTTTACAAAAGACTTTTATCGGGTGGCTTCCAGGATATGACCTAAACACCATGTTATTTCCCTGGTCACTGCTTAGTCCCCTCTGTTGGTTCTTTTTCATCTTATAGATCTCTAAACACGATAGCATCTCATGGATCACATAACAAGCCCCTTCCCCTTTTCTATCTATAATCAATTCTTTGGTAATCTTATCCAGTCTAATGGCTTCAAAGACTATCTATGTGCACTGATGCCTCACAGATTTGTATGTCCAGGTTAGACTTCTCTCTGTAAGTCCAGACTCATATATTTAACTGCGAACATGGACATAAGAAAATTACCATGCTCAAAAATAACTTCTTACTCTTGTATCTAAACTTGCTCCATCTACAATCTTTCTCATCTCTCTAAAAGAGAACTTTGTCTTTCTAGTTACTCATGTCAAAAAATAACAAATGCAACAAAAAAGGAATTACTCATTTTGACTCTGTTTTTCTCACAAACCATATTTAATCAAATTCACAAATCTTTGCTTGTTTGTTTTGGGTATTTTTTTATTTGTTTGAGACAGACTCTCCCTCTGTCACCCAGGCTGGGATGCAGTGGCACAATCATGGCTCATTGCTCCCTTGACCTCCCAGGTTCAAGTGATCCTCCCACCTCAGCCTCCCAAGTGGCTGGGACCACAGGCGTGTGCCACCACTCCCTGTTTGTTTCTTAAAAAACACTATTTGTAGAGATGAGGTCTCACCATGTTGCCCAGCCTAGTCTCAAACTCCTGAGCTCAAGCAATTCGCCTGTCTTGGCTCCCAAAGTGCTGGGATTACAGGCGTGAGCCACCCTTCCTGGCCAATTGCAAATAAAGCTTCAAATTATATCAAGAATTTGGTCATTTTTTCACTACTGCCACCACCTGATGCAAGCCACCATCATTTCTGCCTCAATTGCTGAAACAGTCTTCTACATGTTCCTCTAGTTTTGTCCCTTGCTTGCATATAGACTATCTCAAACCAGGAGACATAGTAATCTTTCAAAAACCTGTCATTTATTTTCTCAAAACTTTCCAATGTCTTACCATCTCAAAATAAAAGCTCAAGTCTTTAAAATGGCCTAGGAGGTCATAGGTGATCTGGGTTTCTGTCATCAACCAGACCTCATCTGCTAATACTCTTCCTCTTGCTCACCCCATTCTAGCTATCTGGTCCTTTTCCTCAAACTCTCCAGGTATATAACTGCCTTGGGAAGTTTGTGCTTTGCTATTCTGTCCTATAGAACCTCACCTCTGATCACTTGCACTCTCATTTACTTTATTATTCTACATAACATTTATCACTATCCTTCATACAAAATCATGCTGCTAGGGACTGAATGTCCTGCCAAAACTCCAATGTTGAAACCCTAGTCCCTAGTGCGATGGTATTGGGGGATAGGGCCTTTGGGAAATAATTAGGTCATAAGGGTGGATTCTAATCAATTAGCAAATTTTTAGCTTCACATTACATTAGGAATCAGGACATTTTTCATTATTGCCAACCACCTGATGCAAGCCTTTTATAAAGAGACACGAAAGCACTTGATTTCTGTTTGCTGTCTCTACCATGTAAAGACACGGCAAGCAGCAGCCGTCTACAAAACGGGAAGAGAGCCCTCTCCAAAACCATACCATACCAGCACCCTGATCGCCAACTTCCCAACTTTCAGATCTCTCAGAAACAAATTTCCGTTGTTCAAGCCACCCAGTCTACAGCATTCTGTAATAGTAGCCTGAAGAGAATAAGAGACACTTGCACATTTGTTTTATGTTTTCCTCCCCACTTCAAGAATGCAAACTCTAAGAGTCTAGGAATTTTTTTTATTGCTGTATCAGCACTATCTAGAACTGTGTCTAATGGTAGTACATAATCCAAAAGTGTTATTTTAATGAATAAAAGAAAATATAGAAAAGTATCTTAATGAACTCAAGGTAGAAAGGGTTACTTAAACAAAACACAAAAAGTCTAAATGGAAAAGGAAATGACTGATTAAAAATGACTACATAGGCTGAGCATGGTGGCTGATGCCTGTAATCCCAGCACTTTGGGAGGCCGAGAAGGGCAGATTGCCTGAGGTCAGTTCAAGACCAGCCTAACCAACATGGTGAAACCCTGTCTCTACTAAAAATACAAAAAAAAAAAAAAAAAATTAGCCGGGCATGGTGGCACCCACCTGTAATCCCAGCTACTGGGGGAGGCTGAGGTAGCAGAATCTCTTGAACCCAGGAGGCAGAGGTTGCACTGAGGTGGGATCGTGCCACTCCAGCCTAGGTGACAGAGCAGGCTCTGTCACAAAAAAAAAAAATAAAAAGACTATATAATTTTAAAATCTGTCAATTTGTTCATTGAAAGGCACATTTCTTATTTTTCTGAGACGAAAAATCGCTCTTGTCACCGAGGCTGGAGTGCAATAGCGTGATCTCGGCTCACTGCAACCTCCACCTCCTGGGTTCAGGCGATATTCCTGCCTCAGCTTCACGAGTAGTTGGGATTACAGGTGCCTGCCACCAAGCCCAGCTAATTTTTCTATTTTTAGTAGAGACAGGCTTTCACTATTATGGCCGTGCTGATCTCAAACTCTTGACCTCAGGCAATCCACCTGTCTTGGCCTCCAAAAGTGTTGGGATTACAGGTGTGAGCCATTGTGCCCAGCTGAAAGGCACATTTTTAAAAGTAATAATATTAGCCACAACTGTTTCTAGATATCTCCAGGACATACATGTAAGTGACAATGGGTTTGTATCTGCAATATTTCAATAACTAATTAACAGAATTTTCTTTAAAGAGAATAAATAACCCAAAAGAAAGATTAGAAAAAGACCTATCAGTCTTCGTGAATGGTCGATACAAATTTTGAGTCTCATTAGTGATCACAGAAATGTAACATGAAACCACAGTGAGACACCACCTTAAACCACTAGACTGGCAAAAATGGAAAAGTTCAACAGTACCAAATATTGGCTAGAACGCTGCCTTGGAAGCAATGCCACACATCTACAACCATCTGATATTTGATAAACCTGACAAAAACAAGCAATGGGGAAAGGATTCCCTGTTTAATAAATGGTGTTGTAAAAACTGGCAAGCCATATGCAGGAAGCTGAAACTGGACCCCTTCCTTACACCTTATACAAAACTGAACTCCAGATGGATTAAAGATTTAAACATAGGAACACCATAAAAACTCTAGAAGAAAACCTAGGCAAAACCATTCAGGACATAGGCACAGGCAAGGACTTCATGACTAAAACACCAAAAGAAATGGCAGCAAAAGCCAAAATAGACAAATGGGACCTAAGTAACCTTAAGAGCTTCTGTACAGCAAAAGAAACAATCATTAGAGTAAACCAACAACCAACACAATGGGAAAAAATTTTGCAATCTATCCATCTGACAAAGGGCTAATATCTAGAACCTACAAAGAACTAAAGCAGATTTAGAAGGAAAAAAAAGCCCATTCAAAAGTAGGCAAAGGATATGAACAGACACTTTTCAAAAGAAGACAAATATGAGGAAAACAAACATATGAAAAAATGCTCACCATCACTTGTCCTTAGAGAAATGCAAATCAAAACCACATTGAGATACCATCTCATGCCAGTTAGAATGGTGATCATTAAAAAATCTGGAGACAACAGATAGATGCTGGAGAGGATGTGGAGAAATAGGAACACTTTTACACTGTTGGTGGGAGTGTAAATTAGTTCATCCATTATGGAAGACAGTGTGGCGATTCCTCAAGGATCTAGAAATAGAAATTCCATTTGACCCACCAATCTCATTACTGGGTATATAACCAAAGTATTATAAATTGTTTATCATAAAGACACATGCACACGTATGTTCATTGCGGCACTGTTTACCATAGCAAGAACCTGGAAACAACCCAAATGCCCATCAGTGATAGACTGGACAAAAAAAATATACACCATGGAATATTATGCAGCCATAAAAAATGATGAGCTTGTGTCCTTTGTAGAAACATGGATGAACCTAGAAACCATCATTCTCAGCAAACTGACATAAGAACAGAAAACCAAACACTGCATGTTCTCACTCATAGGCAGTTGATGAACAATGAGAACACTTGGGCACAGGGAAGGAAACAACACTCACAGGGCTAGGTTGGGAGGGTGGAGGGGAGGGAGAGCGGGAGTGGGGCGGGGAGGGATAACACCGGGAGAAATGACTGACATAGGCAAAGCCCAGGCGATGGGGGTGCGGCGCAGGGGGATGGAGACAGCAAACCACCATGGCATGTATGTACCTATGTAACAATCCTGCAGAATGCAGGATGTGCACATGTACCCCAGAGCCCAAATACAATTTTAAAAAAAAGTATAATTCACAGGTTAAGATATAAAAGATCTCATTCTGGTAAGGCTTATTTTGAAACTATTTTATGTCTTCCAAGAAACTCTAAACCTGCCAACAGAAAATACTTCAACTTTTTTCTCAGCCTTTAGGTCCCCACCTAAATGGCTACTCTTCAAAGAAGCTATCTATCTCTAAACACATTCTCAAGACGGAGCCCTCTCCCTGCACCCACCATACAGTACTATTATCCATTATTGTACCTAGTCTGTTTCCTTCCTAGCATATTGACTATAGTTCCATAATTAATTGTCTGTCTCTCCTATGAGACTGTGGCAAGGGGTAGTGATCCCATCCAGTGTATGACAAGTGCCCAGTTTATAAAATACCTGGCACAAATTCAGCATTCAAGCCATAGTTGTTGAAAGAGTGACAATGCACGAAATGTGTCATCTCCCTGATTTACTATTTACCCTAAAATATTTATGTCTTGGTCCTCTGTTGCAGTTTTCCATTTTGTTTTTATGATGCCTTGGGGTATCTTGGGAACAAATATTTGACAGAGGACCATACGGCAAACCTTGTGGTATATATATTCAAGCCAACTTTCATATCCTTCACTGTATAAAATCCTAACCTGTTGTTTATGTATCCAATAATTGTAAAACACTACTAGGTAAAAGAACAAAGAAGTGAATTTTAATTTATTCCTAAACACCAAAAAAGTAACAATAAAGACTTCTAAGAATTAATGATCAATGATATAAACAATTTATTGAGAAAGTTGATGATAGGTATACATTATCTGAAAAGTTAAAATTCATCCATGTGAAAATAGTAAAGCCAATGTGTAAAAAGGCATATATTTCTAAATGTTTTTGTTGCTTTGGCTCAGAGTTGACAATTTCAGTTTACCTAAGGCAAGTTATGCTCTCTTTCTCTTTGCTTTTTTTCTTTTAAATAGTAGTGTTCAGTCAGAACCATAAGGGGAGAGGAGGAAAAGTATAGGTATAATAATAAAACATCAATAAAAACAGAAAAATTCAAAATTTACTATATGACAAGTACTATTCTAAGCTCATTCCATATATCACTCATTTAATACTAAAACCAACGAGGCAGATACTATTCTTATAATCTTTTTACCTATGAAGAAATTGTGGCACAGAGAGGTTAAGAAACTAGACCAGCATAACCCAGCTAGTAAGTGACAGAAAAATGACTTGAATCAGAAAGCCTGGCTTTGAAGTCTTTGCTTTTAACCACCACACTATACTGCTTCTTAACAGATAATTTGAAAAGATTTCTAGATACAGCTAAAGAGAGAATTAGTGGGGAGAAAAAAGAGAATCAGGACATTGGAAAATAATTCTAAAGACATTGATAATATTAAGGTAATATTAAGAGATATTAAGATGGCTGGGTGCTGTGGCTCAAACCTGTAATCCTAGCACTTTGGGAGGCCGAGGCGGATGAATCATGAGGTCAAGACGTCGAGACCATCCTGGCCAACATGGTGAAACCACATCTCTACTAAAAATACAAAAATTAGCTGATCGTGGTGGCACGTCCTGTCGTCCTAACTACTCAGGAGGCTGAGGCGGAAGAATCGCTTGAACATGGGAGGCAGAGGATGCAGTGAGCAGAGATCACATGACTGCACTCCAGCCTAGCAACAGCGTGAGACTCCGTCTCAAAAAACAAAAACAAAAGAGATATTAAGAAGAAATACTAAGAAGTGCTATTAAGAAGTGATATAAAAAGGAATAATAAAGAGATACTAAGAGATGGATACAAGAAGAAAAAGTTAAACTTGGGAGGACAAATATCTCTTTTTTTTTTTTTTTTTTTTTTTTTTGAGACAGAGTCTTGCTCTGTCGCCAGGTGCCAGGCTGGAGTGCAGTGGTATGATCTCGGCTCACTGCAACCTCCACTTCCTGGGTTCAAGCAATTCTCCTGTCTCAGCCTCCCGGGTAGCTGGGACTACAGGCACACGCCACCACACCCAGCTAATTTTTTTGTATTTTTAATAGAGATGGAGCTTCACCATGTTGGCCATGATGGTCTCAATCTCTTGACCTCGTGATCCACCCGCCTCAGCCTCCCAAAGTTCTGGGATTACAGGGACAAATATCTCTTATAAAAATTACAGATGAAGAGACTATGTTACAGAAATTAAGAATAACATGAGTCCTGAAGATTAAAAACTGCAACATAATGCTAAAACCCTGGCACCTTCTTAACTAAAACAGAGGTAATGAGACAGTCTTCTTTTATTGATAATAATAAATTTTAGAGAAAGACAAAAGCAATATACCCCCATCTACTGCTCGTCTTTTAAAGATATTTTGATACCAGTGCTGGAATAGTTTTCCTAAAATAGCACTTTCATTAAATCACTCTCCTGCTCTGGGGTAGGCAGTGGCTACCTAGCCTTAATGCATGAATCTAAACTCAATTTAACTCTTCCCAGCCTGGGTGGCAAAACCCCCTTCTCCACCAAAAATACAAAAATATCAGCCAGGCGTGGTGTCACGCAGCTGTGGTCCCAGCTATTTGGGAAGTTGTGGTGGGAGTATTGCTTGAGCCCAGGAGGTGGAGGTTGCAGTGAGCTGATATCGTGCCATTGTACTCCAGTCTGGGTGACAGAATGGGACTTCTCAAGAAAAAAACAAAAAACCCACAAAAAACTTTTCAAGTCCAGTATAACATAATTCCATTGTTTTTACCTAACAGGAACCAGCTATATACCAATCTACAAGTAAGTAAATCCTTATATAATAATCCATCTAATATTTATAACACCATTGACCCAAGTATTATCTACATCATAAAGAAGAGAAAAGTAAGGCTCACACGTACATTCCCTAAAGTCACATACACAGCTAGAAAGCAGAGTTGAGATTAAAATCCAGGTCTTTCTGATCATGGAACTCTATATTAAATAATATTCCATTCCTACAGAGGATCCCTTCCACCCCCGTATCCCACCACTATATCCTCTCTAGGGAGAAAAAAAAAAGTTAAAGGAAAAAATGTTATTTGCAGGAAAGTTTTTCCCTTGCCCACTCTTCAAGTTAAAACAATAGGAATTCAAAGGAAATGATCATTCCATGTATTCCAAATTTATTGATTTTTAAATTTTTTAAATTCTGCTCTATTTACACTAAAAGCATCAATATTTAACTATACCAATAGAATTTAAGTATTTGGTATATGGTTTCTCTCTGTGATCAATATATAATAAATTCTGTTTTTAATCATTTTTTGGAATCAAATTTATACATTATTAACATTTGGAGGATACAGTAAGTAGCATACCTAAAAGTGGCTGAAACCAGACATAAGACCAAGATCCTGAGCAAACTCTAGCTGCTGAAAGATTTCATCAGATTTTTATTCCAAAGCAATTAAGGTTAAATCATTAAACAGATTTCAAAATCCAGGACAGTAGGTGACAAGTTAAACATTCCATACAGTGGAATACTGGGCAACCAGGGAAAGTATGTCTTTGCCATATATGTGTCTGACACTGTCCCCAAGAATAATTTTATGAAATTGTTCAAGAGAATAAAATAAAATAATAAGATAAAATAAAAAATTCCAACTAGGCTTGCAGCAGCAATCATTAAGCCAGCTTGCCCTTTGGCCCACTTCCTTGTAACTGGTTTCTACTTACCTCCCCAGGATAACATAGCCTTTGTCGCAAGATTCTTTGTTCTTTTCCTGTTATAGAGATAAAATCTCAGACATTGTGAGAAGATAAGCTTTCTGTCTGAGATGCTTCTTTAGGAGGTTCATGTATATCAACAAAACTAGGGAATCGAGCTGGTCTGGTGGGCCCAATAAGAAGCTGCATCTTAGAGAAAAGCAGTTACCACATTCTTATGTTTTCATCCCCCCATCCCCACTGATCACAACACCAAATTTTCCAGCACCTCATTCTTTACAAATCCCCTTAAACACCCCTGCCCAGAACCCCTCAAGGAAACAAATTCAAGGCTTGAGAATTCCTCTCATTTCCTTGCTTGGCGCCTTGTGATTAAACTACTCTGCTGCAACCCTGCTGTCAGTGTATTCTGTTGCTGCACAGCGGGCAGATGAAGCTGGCAGTCCTGTAGCATATCTGTGTATCTGTGTAATATAAAGATCAGAAGGATATTCATCAACATGTCACCAGCTGTTATTACTGGCTTGAGAAATTATAGGTAACTTATTTTATTCTTTACTCTTATGTTTTCTTTAATTCTTCTATATTTACTAAGCAAATTAATTTTATAACCAGAAAAGTCAGATTAATTCAAAAGAAACAGATTTTCATTTAAAAAAATCTGTTAGCTACCTGAGTATGTGGCTATGGTTGTATACAGAATCTCAAACTTGTCAGTTTAACCTTTCAATCCTCATAGCACACACTAATCTTTGGACAGGATTAACCAGTTGTTTGGTTGTAACGTTAGTTTATTACTGAGTGCCCTTTACAAGCCATTGCTCAATCGGTAGCAGGAAGTATTTGGCTCATGGCTCCAAGGTATGTTCAGAGTTTCTTGGCTACAAGAACTAATTAGATTGAAAAAAAGTTTTCTTTAATTCTGAATCCATTACACTGACAAAGCTAACATTCCTCAGACAGTTTCTATTATCAGGGTACTACAATATATTATTCAATTAAAATAATTCATAACATAAGAAGTAACATATGTTAATTTAAATGTTTACTACATATTTAATCACACTCATACCCATCATTACTACCACAGGTTGAAAAGGCATTTGCCAACTTTTAGCCCAGGGTGACTTCTATAGCTGAGTTATGAACCGCAACTGAAATAGTGGGTTTGTAATGGAAATGCTGACAACCTTAAGTATAGCAGCATGAACAACACTGACCATAATAAAATTTTTGTTCAGATATAACTCACACAGAAAGTAAAAGCCAAGGGCTGCGAATAGCTCAGTACATTTAAGCCATTTTTCAACACGTTCAAAATACATATAATTCTATATTCCTTTCAAAGAAATACCTGATGGTTTTTCGAACTTCTGTGTTTTGTTTTTAAAAATCTGTATATAGTAGTATCTCATCACACCCTGTGAAACATTTTTTTCCCTTTATCTTCAGCTACTGAAAGTGCTAATGAATGTTTCATGAAATAAATGATATTTCAGTCTGGACTTACTTTGCATTTTCAGTATCTCTGGGAATGGACTTGTTCAGTGAATTTAAAGAAATAATGAAGGGCCCAGCAAATTCTGATTTGCAAAGCTGGTTAAAGTGCCTCTGCATTAGAATTGTCAGTGTAAAACTAAAGAGGATAATAGCTCTTCCTTTTCCCCCACCGAATGTCAAAGGAGTGATTTCTTTTTTCTTTCATGCAAATAATGAAAAAATCAGAGGAAACCAAGCATTTGAGTCAGAAAGCTCTACAAAAAGCAAAAGTGACAGTCACTATTTATTTTGTAATTAAGGTGTTACAGTACTCATCCACTCTTGGTCACATACACACTGCACATTTCGATAGCTGGCAATCAGCACTGCTGAAGAGAACACTGCCGAGGAGTGATAGAAATGCTGTTCTTGTCTGTAGATACTCCCCCTCAAGTCCAGTTTGCACAAACAGAAAAGAATCTGGACAAGAAAATAGAACTGATCAAATGTATTCACCGTTTCTAGCAGAATTTGGAAATTACTTATGGGACAATAGGGCTCTTTATATTTCCTTTGATCTCAGATATTTGCGTATAATTTAAGCAATATAACATTTAAATGCAAATATGGTCTTAAATTTCATTGTCCAAATAGCTTCATTAATCACAATCATTTCTCATTTCCCATTTTTTAAGATCATGGAAGACCAGACTAAGGCAATAGAATGAAGATGATTAACTGATTATGGTTCTTCGAGAATCAAGCAAAAAGCTGTTTACTTCTTTTCATATGTAATAAACTGTGACTGGGATTTTACTTTAGACAAGATTGTATTTAGAGAGAGGTAATTCTACCTTGATTAATATCTGTAGAAAAGTAAATTATATTTTACAAAATATTTGAATGCCACAAGCATTTAACATCATAGTGAGATTCAGCATATACTTTTCTGTGCTAACTATATCAAATGACATAATTAGTTTTGAGAACAGAAATATAGACAGAACACAAAATACAAATATGATGATGGTTTGATTCTGCTACACACTTTGTTTTGAAATCTGGACTGGCAGAATAAACACTTCTTTTCTATACAATTCTGTTATAGGAAAGGGGTCCTGATGTAGACCCCAAGAGAGGGTCCTTGGATCTCATGCAAGAAAGAATTCAGGGTGAGTCCACAGTGCAAAGTAAAAGCAAGCTTATCAAGAAAGTAAAGTTAAAGAACAGCTACTCCATAGTCAGAGTAGGGCATTCTTGAAAGTAAGATGATGAACGCATCTATCCTAGGTACAACACTTATATAGACAGGGAGATGTGCTTTGCTACAAGGGCTTGTGATAAAGGATTAATTTTCTTAATTAGTATATGTTGCAAGAATTGATATTATCTTAAAGGAAAATTAGGAATGCCTTTGTTTTCCAGATATCAGGATATCTGGACACTACCAATTCTGGGTCTGCCTAGTAAACATTATTCATTTGTTCCCTTAATCCTAAATGTCTAGAGGCTAGGAATACCTTTCTTTCTGGGAATGCAGCCCAGAAAATTTCAGCCTCATTTTTCTAGCCCTCATTCAAAAGGGAGTCCCTCTGGTTGGACCATCTCTGACACTTCCTTCCAAATTTAATTGAGATTATTGGGTCTGAAATTACAGTTTATTCTAAAACTTCTACTTTTGAGTGTTTGTTGTATGACACTGCTATTACTAGAAATGAAATCTACTCAGGGAATCATGTATGGTTAGAAAAACAGATACAGGTTATTTCAAATTATTACATATATTGTATAGGTGGGATATTTACATACAAATATTACTCTTGTTTTTACAATTTTTATCCCCATTGGTGGTTCCCTCATCTACCACTCATGTCACCATGCAATATATATTTAAGTTCACATTTTCTAGAATCTTTTCTCTCCTTTCTAATCTCACTGCTATGGCTCCTTAGCTACTGTTGTTAATAAAAGGAAGACTCCAGATCATGGAGGATTTTGATTATAAAATAAGGTTTGACAGCATGAGTTAAAACTGTGTCTATAAATCATTTTTTTAAAAAATGTCTTTTAAGGCTAAGCAATATGTTTCCTTCTGGAGGTTAATTCTATGCCTATTACTGATTCATTTATTAAAATTTATTTATTAACGATCTGTCAATACGGAGAATTCTGTAACCTACCTTGCTGCTTTTATAAAACAATGATAAAGAAAAAAATTTAAATATCAGTAATGAAGTCTATATAGTCCTTTCATATAAACCATACAATACTTCTGGTACTGGACCAACTGTAACTCAAGATTAGTTGATTATCTACATGCAGATGGAGTTGATAATGTGCATACTGAAATTTCACTTTTCTAGGCTTTACATTGGTAAATAGCATTTCCCAAGTAAAGCAATTACCTAGACTGGCATTTGGCTCACTTATTTCAGGAAAAACTGCTGTCTAACATGATTGCTAACCATGCAAAAGTGTCAGAGATGTGCTGATCACTACCGCGTGTCAACAGTGTCAGGCCATGAAAGATGTTAGTTACACCAATCATTACCACAAACCCCTTGTTTCCTATCCACTTAATCCATCCCATGTTTAAACTCTATCCACTTCCTGAAATCACCTGCCTGTTTTAATTCCCTTCAGAATAATTATATCTCAGTGCATGCAAATATAATCAAAATGCAGCCATAAACATCAGTCTTCCTTCTTTAAAAAAAAAGCTGCTAGTTACAAGTAGGTATTTTGAGTGTGTTTTGAAGAGACCTTTGTTACTAAAAAGTGTGGTGAGGGGCACATCGTAGAGTCTCAAAGCTGCAAAAATGGTAGATTTTCCTCAACGCATTTTTCATAAGGAGGCCCACATTCTCAGACTTCTGACTAGAAGTTATTGTAGCAAAGTTTCACTAGGTAAATAATAAAAATAATAATATACAATTCAAAACCATACAGATTTCGAGGTGATAAATATTTGCATACTTTCAGGTCCTCTAAATCCCAGAACACTATATAATATTTCACACATTAATCTCCAAATAGCTATGTATGGAATTTTGTGATGACAAAGAATTTACAGAGAGAAGCAAGTAATTAATACATAAGTATCTCACCTATACCATCTGTCTTCGTGCTGAGGATACAATATAGTTTGATTTTTTTTAACCTTTACCAATTTGATAGCTGAAACTTATATTTTATTGTTTTATGTGCCCTTCTTCCTTTATTGGTGAGGCTAAATACCGTTGAAATGTTTTTCCTATGAAAATGTTCTGTCTATGTGCCATTTGCTCATTTAAGAGTTAAGAATCATTTCTACTAAATTTCTGAGTAAGCTGAGATATCAACAACTCATTTTCCTCTGAAGAACATCTATTCAGTGTGGTTTCTAACAGTAAAAGATACACGAATAAGTGCACAGATTAATTTAAAGCATACACTTACTTCCAGAGAATAGATAACTGAAGAAAACTGACACATGCAAACCAAGGGATACAAATGAACGACTTAGTGGCTGCAGTTCCTTATACGAATAGAGTTAAATAAAGATGTGGTTAGTTGATGACCACACCCCTCAAAAAGGTCTGCAACTGAGATGATTATTCTTTCTCCTCATCATAGTGTATGTTACTATTCTCTGTGGACATGTAGAAAGAAAAACCAATTGAGTAAAACCCTAAATTCTAAAGATACCACTTTTATATATTTAAGAGTGCACTGCAGTTTTAAACAAAGCTGTGTTGGTATGATGCGATTAGATATTTCTAATTATAATAATTAATATTCCCATTAAAATATGTACCTTACTAAGGCTTATATGGCTTTATCAGTTTATATTAAATTTATAACTAAAATTTTCCCATTTTATATCCTTTTGAATTATGTTTGTGATATTGTCCATGTTATAGTGGAAAGAACAAGAGATATGCAGTAGAAAAAATACTTAATTGTGTGGTCTTGAGCACTTTACTTCGCTTTTCTTGGTCTCAGTTTCCTTTTCTCTAAAACTATGCTTAACACAGTGCCTGGCACTTAGCCCTTTATAAACGGTAGTGGTTACTATTCTCACTATTAGGTATCAGCAAATGCATAATTAAGAAACCACAGCTAGCCTAAACATTAGCTTTGGGTTTTCTGCTACAAATGCAAGCAGAATCTACTTCTTTAAAATGCACATAAAAGAAAATATTTTTGAAGACCTGGATTTCTTTATTATCATTTTTATTAGTTATAATAATCTTTTATATTTATACCTTTATTTTCCCCTAAACTTTTACTATCAATTACTTAGACTATTCAATTAAACACTATATGCTTTATCTTTCTTTCCATGTTTATACATGCTAAAGAAAAAGATATCCTAACAAATAGGATATTGGAAATCATATGATCAACCCTTAAATGGGGGACAATGATTCTTCCATCAAAGCTTAGAGATGTCATTCATAACATGAACCTTTGTGATATTTCTAGAGTCTTATTTTTAAAAGTGTCCAAAATGGAAAACAGTAAGAGTATGTAGAGAATCTAAAATTAGTAAAATTATACATTATTTCAGAAAACTTTATATTTTAACTTGTGAATTCTGAGGTTCATTTTTTAAACTGAACTAATAAAATTTAATCAAAATCAACTGGAATTAATATCCCCATACTAGCTTGAATAATTATTTAGATGTAACACCTTTTTCATAAAGCATTTTCACATTGAACATCTAATTTTACTTGCATAACTACCTTGAGTGATAAGTAGCCTAGATATTACCATTGCTATTTTTCAAATTAAGAACATTTGTTGTACAAATAGGCACTGAGAGGTTATATGGCCAAACTATGTCCAAACCAGTAGCTGGTGACAAAGTTGGAATTCAAATATGTATGTCCTGATCCTCATCCCTGGACATATTATTCTAGTAAATATGTCTTTCAGTTTTGACTATACCAGAATCCTTTGCCACAGAGCTACTAGTTTCCAATAAAAGTCAGGGTCTTCACTACCTCAATGAATCTTAAAATTAAAATATCAGTGCTGTTCTTTGAAGGTGTCCCCCAAAGTTCATGTGTTGGAAAATTAATCCCTAGTGTGGAGATGTTGAGAAATAGGGTCTTAAAGAGGTAATAATGTCATGAGGGCTCTGCCCTCATAAATGGATTAATATGGTTATCACAGGAGTGGGTTTGTTATCACAGAGCAGATTTGCTATAAAAGCGAGTTGTACTCTCTCTTGCTTCTCTCTCATATACATACCATCATTGACTCTTCCACCCCTCTACCCTTCCGCCATGGGATGACAGAGCAAGAAAGCCCTCGCCTGGTACTAGCACCTTGATATTGGACTTCCCAGCCTCCAGAACTGTAAGAAATAAATTTCTTTTCTTTAAAAATTACTTAATCTAAAAAAAAAAGAAAAGAAATAAATTACCTAATCTGTGGTATTTTATTATGGCAATGCAAAACTGGCTAAGACTTCTGACTGTTTTACATGA